ACAGTCCATCATACGGTTATACAGAATTTTCTTTATGGTAGGGTCTCCTAAATGCTAGAATGAAACAACTACATTATAGGGGCACAAGAAATTGATAGTATCTGTGCTGTTTGCAGATTGCTGCAGCCCTTGGAACAAGCATTACCTGGCAGAAGGCACTACGTGAATGGCCTCAAGTACTTGGAAAAGAAAATCCATTCAACGACCAGATTGAAGCTATATTCAAAGACCAAGGTGGACACTGACTTCCAAACTGCCAGAGCCCTGACACGGTTTATGATGATGCTTCCCAGTGCATTTTTTGAAACAAGATGATTAAAGACACACACAAAAAAAGGAGGGCAAGTTATCAGAGCCAGTAGCAGTGGACATAACACAACAGCATTCTTTTCAGTTTGTATCTTACCTGCACAAGTAGGCTATGCTTTTTCTGTGGAGCAACAAAAATAAAAATCAAAGGATACCTGCCAGCTAGACCATTTCTTGTACTGGTTTGCAAATTCATTCAATTTTTTTCCATATATAGGAAACTTCTAGCCTTACCTTTTTTTTTTTTTTTTTCCCCCCTACAGGACATTATTTCTGGGCTTTCCATTTGTACTCTTTCAATGGCTAATCTGATCTGAAAAAGGGGGAAGGACAGACCCCCCAAACTCATTACGTTGTCATAAATTGTGTGTATATAATTGCCCTGACTGTCAATACATTATTTAGCTGTCATTTGCTTATTAAAATGTGCCAGGAATAACAAGGTGCTAGAATTTTGATTTGCCTGGCAGCATCAGTGCAGGCCGACTGAGCACTGGTTCTCTTCCTCCCCATTAACAAGACAGTGACTTGACAACCCTTCATGTATTCAAAACAGGTTACTTTTAAAAATTTGAATACCCTGTCCCCTATCTTTTACAAGCATGAACCAGGGAATCACTGAAGACACTGGGCAGCCCTTACCTGCACTACTTCATACACAAGCTTGAAGGTTGAGAATTACTAGTTTTCTCACCAGCTTATTCAATGCTCTTAGAAAAATAAAGACATAAATATTTAAAAAAAAATAGAGATATCTCTACCCTACTCATAACCTTACTGCTGATAAAGGGATCAGACAGCATAAAATAGCATTAATTACAGGTGAAAAAAAATCTGGTAAAAAGAAAGTGTTAACATGACATGACTAAACCCCATCCAAACCAGCCAAAGCTTGGGTAGACTTGCTCTGCTCTTTGCTCTGACCACGCTCCTTGTCACCCCTGAGCCAGCTCTCAGGTAGTGGCCCAGACTAAAGGAGAAGGCCTGGCTGTGTATGGACCTTCACACACCAACCAGGGCTGTAGGAGGCATCTGCACAGTATTTTTATTAGGCAGAGGATGACTTAGATAATGCTATTTTGGTTGAATCACTTATTATTGCTATCCTATATCCTCCTCTTTTTTTTTTTTTTTAAGAGTACAGTCAGTGCCTCATCTTTTATTAAGATAAAGATTCCTTTGGGACAGCCACTAACATTTAAGTAGAATATTCAAGTCACCTACTTTAGAAAAGCGAAAGGGAATACGTTCTGTAATTGAGTGATACTTACACACAAGGCCCCAATTCATTCAAGGCATTTAGATGTTACCAAAATATCCAGTCTCCCAAGAAACAGTTTCAACTCCACAGAGGCATGCCTGAGGAAGACTATTTAGCATTAGAAGAAAAATGAAAGCTTCCTGATTCCTATACAAATTCTCTCCACCAAACAGCATAACATTTGATGCACACTGGACAGGTAGAACTATAGGTAAAACCTAACTATTTTTTATTACCTATTCAGGCTTCCTATCTTTCATTAAAAAAACCACAAGGACCGAAACAAGTGGATCCATGTGGTTTTACTATAGACCAAGTACAGCATAGACAATAATTACAGAATATCAGATAATTTCCTCTACACCAAAATATGGAAATGTAGCAATTAAAGGGGGAAGGGAACAGTATGTGTTTAGAAGCCAAATTTTCAGGCAATCTCATTGCAAATGATTGTATTTCATTTGAGGTTGGGATTTAATAATGCCAATTAGGAGTTTTACAAGCTAGTAAAATTGAAATTTCCTCAGCTAAAATAAGCTTCACTGCCCAGAGCAAAGCATTTTCCATTTATAGACTTTCTTATTAGTGAACATCTTGAATCTGAACAATGGAAAAAAAAGCTTTCTTATAAGATTAGAATAGCATCTTCTCAAAGACAACCTGAAACCCCCCACAGCTGAATCCCAAGCAAAGCTCTCAGATTTGCCCAGTATAACTGCTCTGAGCTTGATAGGTGGTGACTGAGGGACTTCATGAAAAGGGGTTGCCCCTGGCTGAAGGAACACTAACCAAACCGTATGTGCTCCTGCCTCGGAGGAGAGCTCTGCAGTTCAGAATTAGGTTGTATGCAGAAACTTCATTTGTAGCTGATGCAGTAGCCATTTGCAAATAAAGATGAATTTCGAGCCTATTAAGCCATCAGCTTTTACAACCACTATGTTTCTCCATTATTTCAAGGAATGCAAAAAACCAGCCAAAGATCTGCACCCCCAACCATCAATCACTTCGCAGTACCACTCTAAAAATAAATGTCCTATATTTAAAGAAATGTTTCTGAAAAAGCTTACTTATTCTAAAGCAGGAACTATGAATCCTAGTCTATTCCATTAGCTTAACTGTCTCCTGGTACTTAGGTTGGTTGAAGGTGACAAATACGCAGGGAAGAGAAAAATAAACAGCAAATAGTTTATCTTGGAAAGCTGAGTTCCATGAAATTTTATTGCAGTATAAACATCTAGGAAGAACGGCCTGTCAAGGTCTATTTTGGGTGAGTGTTAGAACACATGAATACAGAAGGGATTATGTCACTGGCTAGTTCCAACACATTGCAAGTGATGCTATTCTGTTCATAAACTGTTTTTACAAAACTTAAAGCTTTGTTTGAAATCGGAGAGTAGGAACTGGTTTTGAGGTGTAGAACATATATAGCTTCCTGAAGCTGTTTGAACTCACAGTCTTGCCTCTTTGAAAATGATCTGCTACAAGCATGGAAAAATAGGTTTGTCAGTGTTTTGGAAAACTTTTCCACAGCTCACCCTTAAAAGAGCAGGGGAAGAGGGGAGACAGCAGATCTCCCTCCAGGTCAGCTTCTCTAACTTACATCACTTGCTACACTTTATACCTTTCCTTGATTAGGACAACTTTTCATCTTGGGCAATGAACAAACACAGATTAGTTTCTACAATGGACAATAGGCCAATTAGCCTAAATAAAAATGTCATTCCCTTGTATATATCCAGTTCCAATCTTAACACCTTTCCATGGCCTCATTTTGCAATTTTATACTTAATGATTTTTATTTACATCCACTTCAAAGTTTAACAGACAGTCTACTGCGTATCTACAAATAAAATTTGCTCACCCCCTGTCCCTGTCGCATCACTACTCTACTGCTGTGTCTCTGTCACAAGAGAAAAGAACAATCTCTCCTCCTCGTACCTGATGAGCTGCTGGTCTCTCACAGCTTCTGCATTCATGTGGGAACTGTCCATAGACAATCTGGCCTTCCATTACAAAATTCGATGCTACCTACCCCTGTGGCATCACATTATCTTCCTAAGTCAACTGGTATTTCAGGATAGACCTACTGAATAGAATCCTTTCTTAAACATTGTGTGGAGTCCAGCTTTTCTTCTTTAGCCTATGAACTAGGGTCTCAAATGTATAGATGATGGCCAAAAAAGCAGAAAGTGTTTTATTCTTTATTTTAAATGAATAAAATAAATCTCAATACATAGTTTGGAAATTTTAAAAGACATCAGAAAACTAGATTTAAAAGGAAGTACAAAAGTGGCAGGATGAAAAGAGTATAAGCTGACAGAATTTAGTGTTTCAAGTGTGAATATATAACAGCAATAGCAATTTTAAGTATTCCACTGTTCCATTTGCAGTAGTGAAGTAATGAGATAGTATTTCACTAAGCCCAGTGCAAAGCTGTAAAAATTGCAAGTTTTAACTGAGAAGTTTTGCAATTTTAATGATGGGTCTGAAGTACTATTTTTATCTGCATTTATGGATAAGTCTATGAGGGGGAGGAAGACCCATATTTTCAGCCAGCGGAGTATTAGTTGGTGTATAGCAGCTTTGTAGTCTTATCAAAGAAAAAAAAAAAAAAAAAAAAAGCACTTTTACATCCTATTCCTGGGTTCTCAAATGGAGAACTTTAGCTTGTACGAACCACAAGTCCCAGGAAATACTAACATACACAATTCAAAAACTAATTGGGTTTTGTTTGTTGTTTCGTTTTTTATATAGCAGTCCTAACAAAAATATTCAAGACCTTCCGTTTCTATCAAAGTGCAACACACTGCATACATAATCCACACCTGTAAACCATATAGTGTACATGCCATGTATTTATCTATACCAGTTTGCATGAGAAATTGCAGAATTAGCGTGACTATATTGTACATATTTTGTTCTGACCACAAGGACACTGTACAAGCAAGAAATACCTATACTGCATGTTGTAGAATTAAATTTACTTGTAACTTCTATGCCTGAACATTAAAAAAACCTCAAACCCTCCAATATTAAATCTTATGCTTCAGCACCATCCTTGTTAGAGAACTGAGCTATGCTTTCAGGGAGCTGAGTTATCTAGTAAGCTTGTTTTCTCACTAGCTTGCCCCCCTCTTCCTGCCCTGAAGTGTGATTTCCTGCAATAATTTAGTTGTTTAAAGAAGAGAATGTACTTAGCTAAATAAGACTTCCAAAAAAAGGACTTGCATAAATATTTAGCACATTTAGAAACAACTAATTGCTTCCTACCATACTCAAAAGCTAGGAAGTAAAAAAGTTTTAAAATTCTTAAAGTGAAAAAAAAAATACTGCATAACATAGTCCCATATAATGTTAAATACTCTCTCAAATTTAAAGCATAAGTGATCCAGAGGACTTCTCATGTTTTCCTTTAAGTTCTTTTTTTAGGTAGTTCATGGGGATTTTTGCATACACGTTTTCTTCATATTTCCCTTCCAGAATTTAAAGCTTTCCAATAGGTTTGTAGCAGGCATCAGGCTGCCACATGCGAAGGTCAACAAGGACTTGGTTGAGCTTTTGCATCCAAAGGTTACGCTCTTCTTTAGTATCAGCAGACAGCCAGTTCCTAAAAGGCAAAGGACCCAATGGATTAGATATGTCTTTCTCCACATCTACTTAGTTATTCTGAAAAATGTCAAGTTGACCATCCATGGAAGTCCAAATAGCAGAGGGAAAAAAGGAAGCTAGATATTCCACAGTCCTGCTACCAAGCTACCTGGCATTTCATTTCCACTTCTGGAAAAGCCGAGTTCTTTATTCTCAGCAGACTGAAATGGGTCAGCAAGACAAAATAGGACTAAAAGTGAACCCAACAGTTCAAGTGTCATCCCAAAGTCTTAGCATTTAAATGGGCTCTTTTTTTCCAAAGTTATGAAGCCCCTGTGTTATTAGAAATCTTACTTGAGGCAAAATACCCCTCCCCCACACATCCCATAACCTCCCACAACCTTCACAATTTCATCCACTCACTTTGTAACACAGAGCGTGTCTCTGCATCGGCTGACGAGAGTCTCTCTGTCGTCTTCCCTCTGAGGTCGGACAGTTATTAGTTCAAAAGTGTTGGGACGGGCACAGAACTCCCTATTGGCAGGTTCAATCTGATGATTAGTGCAGTTAGCCAAGTTTATCCGGCCCAAAGGATGCTGGAAGTGAAGTTAGTTCATCAGTCAAGAATACTGCAACCAAGAGTAGTTATGAACATATGCTTTGACAATTTTTGTGCATGAGGTGAACAGTCCCCCCCCTCCATACAAAAAGAGGAGTTCCATTTTTCACATTTAAGAGCCATAGCTGAAGCAAGATAATATAGACAGCGAAACATGCCCTGCTCAGCCACATAAAACACAGCTAAACAAATCCATCCCTTGCCAAAGACTTAGGCTCTAAAAAAAGATATCTCCCCCATTTTCTTTATTCCTTAAAATGCCCCTACCTTTAACTCTCAAGTTCAAGAGAACTTCATAATAAAATCCAAACTGATAGAATAAACACTATCAAAGCCTACAGAAACAAGCACTTTTGGGATGTTTGCATCATTCTTGTCAAAGCCTATGGATTGATCTTAAAACACACAACCAAGGCATTTAAGTGCTGAGACCAGCTGCTTTAGCTCCCTCTATAGCTAGACCTCTTCAAAGAGCATTTCAAATTTCAAGGCAGTTATCTGTTTCTGCTGACTATAGACAGAGGTTCAGCTGTATGCCTAAAGTTAGTTACAGACCCTGGCTCTGATTCTTCACACCTACGGAATAACTCATCAGGGAAACATCACAAGCTGCTCTTGGCTTGAAGAAGAATTTGCTATTTATTGGGCATGTACACTATACTATTACATAGACAGTTAAAATAACCTAAGTTACGGGAGAAAGAAGAATAGCTCCATTTCAAGGAACATTAAGAAACAGGTTGCACGTTGGTGCTATATGTACAGCCATGGGAAATATATTTTAAAAAAACCCATGACTTAAAGCAATCATTGCCCAGTACTGGTATTTCTGAGCTATGTCTATCTTTGCATGACAGAACAGATACAGTAGGAGTAAGGGAAGGCATTTAATAGTGATAGAGCTTATTATTGCTGTAGATGACTGTATATGAAAAGAATGTACCTGACCCTTTCTCAGAATGATAGTGGAACATTTCTAGAAGATTTCTAAGAACAGAATCTGTAAAACAAACCAGAGCTGCTTTCTTGCAGACAAAGAGTAGGAACCTTTTCTTGCTTAACTCAATTTTTTTGCCTGTCTTCTATTACAGTAGGCAGAGATTTTTCCCCTCTCTCCTGGCATGGAAAGAAAGTACTTTGATATATTTTGGCAATGTCAACTATCAGCATATGGTCTTCCTCTGTTAGCAGGGAAGAAACTAAACTCAGGCATCTGGATTGGCATAGAAGACCGAAAAGGACCAGAGTTTGGGAAAGAAAGTGTTCTGCCAACAAACAAGCAAGTGTTTAATGGTAAATTGCTTAAGTGAGTCAGAAAAAACCTCTTGAAAGCAGTCTTTAGAAGGACCTGGAAATATTTCAGTACACACTACAAGAACAGGCTAGAAAGACAAGAAGGTTCACCTCAGTGAGAGATGAACTTCTGATTTGTCTCATTAGCCAGACAATAGCTTAGGTTTCTGTGAGAATAATTTCAAAAGCACCAGTTTCAACTATAATGTGGAGCTGCAAGAAATCAATGACTGCAAATAAGATAGTCCATAATTACAGCTATGCTTTTGCAATATAGGATTGCCCACTCCAGTTGTTTACCATATCGTTAGTCATTATTTTGTCTCAAACTTAAGGCAACTAGATACAGTCTATTTATTATACTGTACAAGTCTGATCAGTTTCAATTAAAATTAGTCATTTGACAAGCACAATGGAAAGGCAAAATGGAAAGTTTTAAGACCAAAGGAGGATATGGATGTTCCTCCACTTTTTTTCTTTCCCCCTAGATAAAGTGGTCAGTTTTTAGGTTTGCCCTGGGAAGACAATTCCCCTCCATTCCCTCAGAAAACTTTCTGAGTTTGAATCTCATGCTTTGAATATACTTACCTGTTTTAAGTTTAAATGTTACTGTCATTAAAAATGAATAGCTAGTCGTATAGGGTACTACAGGACTTTAGACTTGAGCTTTATAAAACAGCATTACCTTTCGTTTTTCATCATCTGGGTATGTCCAGTAAGATATACAGTTTCCAGACAGCACGCACCAGCGCCTATGCCATGCTCCAAATCCACTAACATCTTCAAACATAGTCTTAAGAAAAATTAAAAAAAAATAAAAAAAAAGAGGTAACATTAAACTTTGAGCTTGGTCTGAACTATTTTTCTAGCAGAATGGTTCTGCAAGTACAACCCTTCCTAGAAGTAAACATGAGAGAATGAAACAATATATACTGGGAGACTTCTATTAGTACAGTACATACTAGCTTATGCTATCTGGATAGGCTTATGCTATCATTCTCAAGTTTGCAGCCTTTTGCTCAAAATGCAAGTCATGCAATATGCAAATTTTGCTCAAAATGCAATATCACCACCATTTCAAATTACCAGATTTCCATGTTGACAGTGGAAAGCACTCCCATTATTTTAAAATAATGGAGGGTTACTTAAAGCAGATGCAGGATGAATGGTTCACAAAACATGTATCAGTACAATATAATTTATTATTATTAGGTAATTAAGTCATCTTTGATTTACAATTATTCAAGTTTACAAAATTTTTCACTACTCTACAGGCCACGCTCAGGAATCCAGTCAGTTTAAATAAATTAGAAATTTATTTTTAAGTGTTTGTGTTGGCAGTTATTTTACTGAATGCAAGATTATGCAAATGTCAAGACCCATTCCCTTAGTACTGGAATGGAAAGCTTAGTATCTGACTTCTATTACTTATCCCTCTTGAACTTGTACAGAACTTTTCTTTCCAATTAATTTTTGTGTTGTGTCTTTTGCTCTTCACAATTCAGATTATAATTTTTAAAGCTACAGGGAGTTTTCAAACCCTTACTCTGAAAAAATTTAATATACACGTACACTATTCTTCAGGTTTCACGTATTGTGTAGTAAAATTAAACAAGGACTTTCTTAAATTAGTATACAAAAACACAGGATAGGAAATACCATAAGCATGTGAAATGTTTGCATCTAATGAAATCTGTTCAACTTCAATTAAGTAAAGGGAAAGGAGACAGAAAACTGCTTGAAAAGAGTCTAAAGAAATTCCGATTTCTGAAAACACTAAAACAGCAAACATTAATGTTTTGCTTCAGTATTTTCATAGCACATTTACTGCCATCTGCTGGACATAATCTCAACAGCTCCATCAGGAGCTCCATCTAAAAAGGCCTAAGTATCGGCTGCATTTTTAGAGAGAACTGCTCAAGATATTTCTCAAAAAATATTATCACTTCCTTCTAAGGCAGAGTCTGTAAACACAGTGAGAAAAAAAAAGTCTTTTGATAGGGAGAATTTGTTTTTGCTAGAGAAAAAAAAATTCCAAGTTGTCCTGGAAAAGTCCCTGTCAAAGAAATTAGAATCTCACCTCATATCAGATTATATCAAGAGAAGGTTAATTGAAATTCAGAATAACAAATTAACATGTTGAGAAGAAAGAGATATACAAAATCCTAAAAGGTAACTTTAATTTAGGCATATTTAGAAGATAAACTAGGAAAGTTTTGAGGTCTGTTTCAGAGAGGGGAAAAAAAGCGCCAATTTTAAGATCTACAATCACTACAAATACATGTGTGAAGTTAAGAAGGTGACTGCATTTAATAGGACCTGTAACTAGTTCCTTTCTGTAGGAAGACATTTGAAATTAATACCTTACCAAGAACCCTTTTTCCTCTACAGAGGAGTCCACTTGGCATTTTAATTTCAGATATATATGACCTTCCAAAGGAGACAAAAAGGGAACCTGCAAAAAGTAAAACGATTAGTCACTTAATTTCAACATCTCTCAACTTTACCCATTCAAGCAAGCCACCTGCACCAGGATGTTAGTACTGCCTTGTTCTTAGGATTTTCAGCCAGAAAGCAGTCAGTCTCAAGCAAGACAGTAATAATCACTTTTTGTTTCAATTTAATTTAGAAGCTTTTCAAGACTTAATTGCTTATTAGTTTGCTCCGGACAAGCATGCTTCTATCTAGAAAAACAGGCACTCCAAGCATGGTTAAAAACAACACAAGGCACCAGTCCACATCCTGCAAAGCTTCTGCCTCAGTTTGACATTAAACTGTTTGGAAAATATCAAAGTGAGCTTAAACAGGATTGGCACTTGTATGCCATAAGCATTTTTGGCAGATACTGATGTAGTCATGCCTACTCAGATAAATATTTGTATAAAGAAAAAAAAAACCTAGAAGGGAAAAAGCAATGAAAGCAGTTGTTCGCAACTGGCACTCAAGGTGTTGAAGACCTGTGTTAAGCCATTTCTAACAACAGAGGTTCCAAGCCCTATTTTCTACCACATAAAAAAAAGCAGTTTAACTACTGTACCAGAGGTTGGTTAAATGGTTATTGGATATTCAAGAGTTTTGAGGAGGAACATGCAACAAGGACTGCCTTTGGACTTCCCCCAATCCCTCCACACATAGCACCCCATTATATTGAGTGCTCCTGCCACTACTGTCAAGAAATCACATCCCTTCTTTTTTTTCCACAGGGAAGTTGAGACAAATTGTTAATTCAACAAGCAAATGATGATCTGCAGGGCATTCTATATAACATTTTTTTGCTAATCTGAAAAAGCAATACTGTAACAACCCAGAAACATCAGTGCCTTGTCTTACTAGAAAAAAGAGAAAGTTTTTTCTATGCAAATACAAAGAAAGAACCATTTGCCAGGGACTAGGGCTGTGTACACAATAATGAAGCAGCTTTAAAGCCATGGAATCAGTGACGATCAAACGGAATTAAATTTTGCTAGTAGTTAAGATGAACAAGAGTAACCCTCGGTAGTTAAAAGTGTACATCCATAGGCCTCAGCAAATCCTGCAGAACACTGAAATAGATGTTATGGTTAGAAATTGATCACTTCTGAGTTATAGGCATAGTGCAGCTTCCTGTGCAGAAGCTTCCTGTACACATGTGCACAAGCAGGTGATTACATGGTTTTTACACTAGATATACTAAACTAAAGGCTTGCTCCTGTACTTGGCTCTACAGCATAGCACAGCAAAATTTTGAGCGTCAGGTAGGAGTCTGTATGACCATCTGAGAAGCAAAAAAATGTAAAATGTTTCCTCGTAATAGAAATAAATTGTATCAGTCCTGGATTTTTATCAGCAAAGACAACTACAACTCTACATGCTACACCAGGGAACACTGGCTTATATCCTACTAAACCACAGTAAAATCCGTTTCTGAACGAGGACTTCAAGGAATTTTGGCCAATTCCCCAATTCAAGCTTGTGGTTTTTGTATTCCTTTCTAATTTATGCCAGGACAGAAGAATCTACATTGTGGATTATGAAGTTTACCAGCAGAAAGGGAATGAAAGGGTTCAAATAAATGAATTTCTAACAATTAAGATTAAACTGTGATGTGACATATGAAAGCTTTGCTTGTGCTTTGCTTCATCTGGTTCAGAGCTTTGCTTGTGTTTTGCTTCATTTGTTTCTCAAGGACTCCTGATTCCTCAGCTGTTTCCTTAGGTCCCTTTGCCTGCTTAGGTAAGATTGAAACACTCATTAGGCTCCCTACATCACTGATGGCCTTCAGTGGACACTTGGGCAAATCCTACAATGAGATACAGGTGTCTAACAAAGACACAGAGACTGTGATAGGGAAACTGATTTTGCTGACTTAGGAGGGAGACACCTGGACTTTTCTTCACAGAGCATGCTCTGGAAGGAGGGTCAACAAGTGAACACTGTTAAGAAGACTACTTACTTCCTCCCTCGACCACTGAAGACCCTCACCCTATTTTCACTAGGCATGCTCAGATTATGCAAATGCATTATGGGAACTTATTATCATAAGACATCCTTTTCTAGGAAATCTAATGAATATGTTTGATTTCTGTGTATGTAAACTATGTCCCTTGCTAATTCTTGGGAGCCCTGATAGTGGAGAACCCCCAGGGTGACACCAGCACTGCCAATAAAAGAATACCTGCTTAACAGTTATGTTGGATTCTGACTGTTAATTTCTTACTCAGCAAAGAGTTGTGTAACAATAAAGCAAAATGGTTGTATAACAAATGGAACATATCAGTTACACAGAGCCTACAACACCATTCTAATTACTAAAGCTGGTCTCAAAACATCCTCCTGCACACATAATGAGAAAATATTAAGTTCTAGTCAACAATATGTCCCTTTCAAAGTCAAGTAGAGTGGAGGTGGTGGAAAAAAGCAATCTGTGGGATATCCAGCTAGATGAAGGGAAAACTGAATTCCATGACTAGGCTAGCTTGCATTCTGGTGTGGCCATTCAACTATCTACCATGAGAAGTTGGCTTACTGCCATAGAGGATTATCTGTAAAGATACTCAAGATAACTCAAGAATTTGCAAAACAATTGGTTTCTTAGGCAACTTTTGATTACAAATAGAGATGATTGGCACTAAAATTATCACCTCCTTAAATTTGAGAGAAAACATACATGAAGTTACATAAAACACTCTTCTGAGGGATCTGAGTTAACTATTAACTAGAAACTATTTTCAGAGATTAAAGACCAACTATTTAAGTACATCAAGTTACATAATTCCTAAAGCCAAAATGCATACACCAAGCAAAATATTTCAATTGTAAGTTTGTGTACAAATAAATACCTAGGTTTTTTGTAATGTTTAGTATTTTCAAAACTTAAGTTCTTTATGATCACTTTTTGCTTAAAAAGCAAAGGTCTTGGTAGAGTAAGAAGCAGGATATTTAGTTCCTGAGTGATATTTTCTTCAGTAGCAAGAAGTTAAACCAACATTTATGCTGCCAGCCATTTTTCCCCTGGTCCTCTATCAGCAGAGTAGCTGATTCTATGTTCTGTTGGCTCAATTTCCTGACCAGCAACCTTTAAGAGACACATCAATTTGATCTGAAGGAAGAAAACCCCTCCTCTAGTGATCTAGGAAGGAAGACAAGAGACATGCTAGTTAAAGAAAATCCCTAGGCAGCCTAAATAACTTCTGAGTTGTAGCAGCATGCTTATTGTAAAAGACAGTGAGTAGACTTCTGCAAACCTTAAAGTTTCCCAACATCTTTTGCTTAGCTAGTAAATCTTCGTAAACGTTTTAAGAGAAGAATGAAGAAATAAGTAAATACTGCAAAAAGTCCAGACAGACATGAGCCACATGCACTAGGAAGCAGTTTCCTCTTAAATTATAAACTAAAGGATCATAGCAACCTTGTCTTGAAACATATAGCCCAACAGTTCTTTTTCCTCCCCTGCAAAATTTATCTAGGGAAAAAAGAAACATGCTCAATGCAATTAGTGTAAAGTTAAGGTTTGTGAAAAAAGGACAAAGTTACACATGAGTACATTTTGGTCCCTTCTACCCTTCATTTTAACAGTGCATATAAAATGGGGGAATGAAAAAAAAAAAAAACACACAGTGGCAGCAGTTTGTTCTGTATTTGAAATGCATGGAGCAAGGTTTTTAGCACCTGTTTGGTGCAGTCACAGGCCAAGTCAGACATGAAGTTTTATTGAGGTGATAACTTTTTTGTTTGTTAAATTATCTGACAAAAAGGGGAATCCTTATTCATAACTGTTGAATTTTGCACCTGGAAAAAATTAACCAAGTGATGGTTTCCCTGTAATTCCATTTGAACCTTGTGCTTGCACTACAATTTACTAGTCCAGGCCAGTGTCCTGTCCTAAAGAGGTTCAAACCCAAATCACTGCATGTAAAAGCTGATACCCAACTCCAGCAAGGGGTTTTCAGTAACCAAGCTATACACAAAGTAGGGTTTCTACATGCGGTTTTGGTTAAGACAAACATTGAAGAATCAAAGCTGGTACTTCTGAAGGTCACACAGTTGGTTAACAGCAGCGCAATTCAAGTTCTGCTTCTATCCACAACAAGTAAAACTTCTAAAATGCAAGTGGAGATTATTGCAATATTTTGGTTTTAATCTTATGCAGAAACACAACCGATTCTTGTTATCTCATCAGAAGCTATAATTGCAATAGTACTATCATCACAGTAAGACTTAATTAGCCAAGAAAAGTCATTCTTATGCTGCTGTTTGGGTAAAGCTGTAGTATCTTTTGAATTAATTTAAGTTAGCTTAGTATAACTGCTGGCATGAGCACCTATTAAAATAGGTTTTAGGTATATTACAAGATTAGAGATTACAATGAATGTAAGAATGTATTTAACTTCTAATGATAATAGCCAATAAATATTCTGTTGAGACAAGAAACTAATGGTATAAAACTCAATAGCAGCTGTCCTTCAAAAAATATTGATATTTTGCTTCTATAAATTTAATTGGAATATGAAAGGAAACTTACACTCCCAAATATAGTCAAACAACAATTTTAAAGTCAATTAAATGCAGAAAATTGCAAATACTTCATTATCAATAAAACACACGTAATGTCTTAGAGGTGACTGTAAGAGCAATGAATGATATGAAGATCATGTACAGAGATACCAACTGCACAAATCAACTTTTTTGTCAGTGAAAACAAATCAGTAGCCAAATGTTTTAATTTTCTTTGTCTAACTGCACCTTACATTGAGCTACAGAAAAGAAAGAACGTCTGGCATAAGAACACAAGTCGTCTTTTGTTGTATCTCAAAATTAAGTTTCAGTCGTATGAAATTAAATATGAGTAACAAACATTATACAGAATGTATATATACACATATATATATATATATATATATATATATATACACACACACACTCACACGAATAACATATACAAACCTTTGTTTCATTTCTAGGATGGTAACTTTGCCTGAAAACAGTGACCTCAGGCTCATATTCATTTTTCTAGTAGTATGCAATTTGGATTATTAAGCAATAATTCCCATTACCTTGTCCAATGCAAATTTGGCATTTCCTACAGAAGATAGCGATAACTTGTGGGACCCAACAAGGATGAAATGCGTAGTGCGTACAGCATTAGGGCCACCTGGACTGGCCATGGCTGTGGAGAAAGAAGTTCAAGTCAAGTTGTAACACAACACACAGTCAGGAAGCTGCAGGCCTTAAAAAGGCTTTATCTGTACTACCATGTGCATGTCCTACTCAGTACTCCAGAAGCACTTCTGCAGTGCAGCCCAGCAGCACATTCAGACAGGACCTTGATGAACACCATTCCTCCTCAGTAGTTCTTTCAGAAAGAAGTTTTGAAATATCCACAAAGGAGAAGACAAAGCTTTTTAAGTAGTCTCTGGGGGTGGGCGGGGCAGAGAGCACCCTAGGGCACACTACAAAGCACACATCCTGCAGTATGTACTTGACTTAAAATCTTTTAACCTCCTCTCAAGTGACACACTAGTCTTCCAGAATCTCTAAGCCTATATTGCTCTTTGTGCTTATAGCAATAGAAACAAGCACTATAGCTCAGGCACAGCAACCTGACTAGTTGGCAGCAGCATGATAGACATTCCAGAATCAGTTCATGAGCTCCTTACTGCTGTAATTTGTACCAAAGCTAGTTCAAGTTTCTCATACTGTAGTCAGACAAGGGTATAACACATTTTTATGTAGTTAGAAAAACAGAGATGCTGTTGTCCCTCGAGAGTCAGAAATATATAAAGATGTTAACACTATACACAAGCAATACTTAGAATCTGTTCATATTTTCAAGTTTTCCCTGTATTACTTTATTGACATCAGACTCTAGTTTAAAATCTTAACATTCTTTTGAGTTCACCTTTTCATGAAAATAATGTAAACTACAGGCATCTGATACCAGATACTAATTTTGATTTTGTGAAGAGATTTTCCATTAAACTAATGGTAACTCAGATGTAAACACAGGGCCAGCTTCTGGGCTGTCAAGCTGACATAATTCTGTTTATTGCTTCCAAATTATCATCTGTTAAAAGTTTTATTTATTGATATACTTCTTTAGACAGCAAGTGCAGATTATTCACCCTGGCTTAAGATGTTTAGACTTTACTTACCTGGCGTAAGAAGGGTGCTTTTCTAGAAAGAGAAAGAAATAAAAGCTTAGTAGAAAAGTAGTTTCTGATAATTTCTGCAGAATACTAAACTACCTTAGAAGGAAACAAGATCTGAAATACTTTAAAACCACACACAAACAACTTGAAAAGAAAGTCCAAATAAATGTGTAGTAACTGCATATTTCCATCATTACATATTTAGAGCTGTTACCTATTTCTTAAGCCTATGGCTAAAGAGTTTGGCAGAAAGTATAGAGTTTCAAGTAAGGGACACAAAGAGCCTGCTGTGAGCACAGTCTTAAGTGTGAGAATATGGCCTTTGGAAGAGCTCATAACCGGATCTTGTTACAATATCACATTCATACTTACAGAGGTAATAGATGTTAATAATCTCTTTGGAGTAATAACCTACAAAAGAATATAAGAAGATAAATGCATTTGCTACTGAATTTGTCCATCACATTAGCCTGAAAACTAAACAGTGAAACTACTGAAGGTTTATCTAAAGAAATTTTGAATAGATACGAGTTGTTGTAATGAGTAAGTCTTGTTTTTTGACTGGATGTAACATATTTCAGTGGAAGGAAAGCTACACAAAGAAATATTTACTGCAGAGAAGTTTGACTATTCATTGTCTTGGACAGCATGCATTTGAAAAAATCTTAGTATACCTTTTCCCTTCATGTAACATAGCTTCAAAGTTACATTTGCTTATTAAAGATAAGAATTATCAATTAAAGTACATGGATGTTCAGTGTGATACTGTTGTACCTTATCTATATTATCAGGTGAAAATCTCAAAATTTAAGTGAGACTGCATATTAAACACGATCTGGAACTATGTACTCTATTCTCGAAGCTGAAAGACAAGTGCAAGAAGCTTGTCAAAAAGGAGATACAGGATGCCATCAGCAAACCTGTAACCCCACGTCAGCAACTTACCTGCAGTGACACAAACACATTCAGTTTTAAGTAAAGATCCCACTAAACTACAGCACAGGAGAGAAGGAAACCCTAGACTGCAAACTGATTTTATTGGGGGATAGGTAGAAGCATGCTTTCAGTGTGCCAAATGTAAAGATTTAAAAATTTCCTATTTCTCTTTGCAGTGACAGGATTTAAGTACTCATGCTAACTGTTTTGAAAGACACTCAAATTTCTTGTTTTTATTAAGTGACAGATATCTTGAAAAGTAAGAAATCAGACCTAAATTAATACCCTGAGCCCAGCTATTGGAATAACAAGGAAAAAAGCAAAAAAGTCACTACAAAAGACCACCTCCAGAAAGCCACTGACTTGTCTGGAATCACAAAGCCTTAATAAAGCACAAACACTTGAAACATGCACCCTATCCAAGCTGAAATGTTTACATTCAAGGAGTGGTTAAAACAACGTTTGGTTTAAAAATAAACATCCAGTGCTTTTACTTAACACTGGGAAGAAAGAGAAGTGTCACAGTTGATCAATAGAAGCTTTAATACAAATCAGACTGCAGGGTAGGGCATATTGACTGGTGTAGCTTAAGTGGAGAGTAAGGACAGTAAATCACTATCAGAGGCACCACACCCAATACATAAAAGTTCGCAAGGGACAGCATTTTTCAAACTAGTGGGATGACTTCTCCTTCCCCTCCAATATATTTCAGACTCAACCAAGTGCTGCAGGTCCAATCTACTAATAGCTGCATGACTTCATAACCCATCTGTCATTACAGATGTTCCAAGAAAGAGCAAGAAGAGTAAAAGCAACCAACAGATATTCTAAGACTATTAGTTAGTCCTCCCTGAACACTGCAGTCTTCTGTTGAAATACGACATACTGATTTTCATGTTTCATTTACCTTAGATTTATTTGCCTTTTTCCTTTTATCAGTACTTGTAACTTCTTTTCTCTGCACCTGTAAGGCAAGAAGGTATTAAGAAAGTACAACACATCATTCTCCCTTACACATCCTCTTGACAGGAACTGATACATACCAAACTGTAAACTTCTAGATTTATTTCAAAGTCATTTGACACATCGTGCCTAAAGGGAGGAGGGGAAAAAATAAGTTAAACACAGACTGAAGAAAAAGGTTGGGTTTTTTTGTTTTTAAAGTTAGTCTTTACTGTTTCTCTCTTTCCATTCCCTAAAACCATCCAGGGAGCAGTTAGGTTCTACACAAGACAAGTGTAGCCATAGTGCTGACTAATAGCTAATCTCTAGTAAGTCATAGTTTGTTCCTGCAGGCCAATAGGGCTGTTAGAGATCCTTTCACTTCTACTCTTCAGTGTACTTCAGTAGTATTCTTCAGTGCAAGCAGCATTGCTGGTATAAGCCTTGAGTGTATTTCTATTTCAAGATTCTTTCAAGAACTCCAAGAACAAAAGGGGAAGCAGGACAAGGGGCAGATAGAGTGCCTTCTCAAATTGTACCCTTCAGTCCACTGCAGGCACACATTTCTAGAAACCGAGATTGAGTTTTGGGGGTAAATACCTTTAAGTGAAAATTCCAGTTGGACTGAATGAGTTTTGGGGGTAAATACCTTTAAGTGAAAATTCCAGTTGGACTGAACTTTAAAAAGGGAGCTTGCCTATTTATTTTGGAAGACTCTTTGAATGTTTGAACAGCCATTTGAACTCACACCTTTTTAGCTAACATATGAGAGCTGAAGTTCTAGCTTTAAGATTACTATTTTTTCTGGATACCAAAACCAAGTAGCTATATAAAATGTTAGTTGCTGCAAAAGAGAAAAAACACATCATCTCAGGCAGAGCAATCCATCTGTCATTGCAGGTGTTCCAGGAGAGAACATAAGTAGAAAAAGCAAAAGATAAATTAACTGATGGATGGTAGAATAAGTCTAGATTGCTCTTTTGAGAGAAGTGCATTCCAGCTATTTCTTGAAGCAGGAAATACCCATACCACAAGATCTCACCATATTTGTTTGCAGCATATGACATTCTTATATAAAAGCTTTGAACATTTCTATGCTCTATCCACCATCAGAGCTGAACTTGGTTCTAAACAATTTCTTTATACTTACATAGTAAATGTTGTAGTAAAAGTAAGAGCATCTCCATTCAGGGAGCTGGCAGTACTTGCTAATGGGGTTGCAACCATGTTTTCTGCTCCAGATCTCAGTATTATTACATAGTAGTAGTTTGCTGCCTCTGTAAATATATATCAGATGTTTTTATTTGCCAGAGGTGTCCAAGCATCTAAAAACTGCATTACCATTAAACACATCTGTTTCACCCCACTTAAACACTTGGTTACAGTCAAGATTTGCTTATAAACTTACTCTTAAAAACAATTATTTTTTTTTCCCCAACTGTGTCCACTAGTAAGGCTGCCTCCACAGGATTCACAAGAACAGCATTACTGCCTCAGGTATTTCAGGCCACAGCGACACTACCCAGTGTGCGAGAGGCAGAGGAAGAACTTTCAGTCAGATTAATCAGTTAATCTTAGTTTCTTATACTTGATTGATATTCTCTAGGCCTGCCATCTTAACCATACATCAACTTTTGCTACTGCCCATCCTCATGCTTTTTTCAGTCCTATGAAAGAGCTGGTTATCCAGGCAACTCAATTCCTTAACTTTTCACATAAAAGGAAAAAAGATGACCACAAGTGCACAGCCCAGTAGTATCAGGAGATAACTTGGAGCTTGTGCAGCAAATTGATGAACAGTAAAGCAAGAACATTGCATAATATCATACCACATTTAAAAAAATCCAGAACAAGATGTTTGAGTGCTCTGTTGTATAGGACAAGTCACAGCTTTTAGAACAGCCACTGAAGACTCCAATAAGTTTTGGTTTGTACTCTTTATATTTGATGTTCTCTCCAGAGATGAAATAGAGCTTCTGGTGCACAATGTATAGCAAATACTGCACTTTCAGAATAAAGTTTTGACACCAGATAGATCATAGTTTATTTAGACAGTTTGGTTTTGAGAATTACTGATAGAAGCTAAACATATTTTTGTAAAAATTAGAGAGGCTTTTCTATAATAGAGATTGTCTTGTGCAACAAGAACTGTAACATGTTAGGAGTGGGGAGGGGATGGTAAATTAGGACAGATATTTATATTCTTGGCTGTGGTTTTAGTTGAAGATATAAAACCACACTTTACATTCCATAGGACAGTTAAACAAGAAAATAAGAAAGGCTACATATGAACTCATTAGTAAAAGTTTTGCAACCAATATTAAACAAGACTTTGTCCAATAACTTTTGTTCTCAAGTTTTAGTGAGGAAGGAGCAGGAACCTGACCAACTACAATCATATTCTGTGGCATTATATAAAATAGCACTGGTTACTGTGGGCTTGCAGATTCTTTAAACAACCACGTGACAGAACCTTGCTATACTCCAGGATAAGTCTCTAGATCTACAAAGAGATATTGCCAGATATTCTCCTGGAACAAAAAGAAACAAATCCACATTTTGGATTCCCAGGCTGCAGAAAACCCACATAACACTTTAATGACTTAAATATGACAAGATAATGGAAGACTAGTCTTTGTAAATTAAGTATTTTGGGATGTTAACAGGAGGATTTAAAAAAAGGAAGAGGCTTAATGAGGCATTTCACACCACCACAAAGGTCAGAATTTATGTAATATTTAGTACTAGGCTTGCATCCATAAAAAAAATTCCAAGGCAGCAAGAGAAGGCAAGGTGAGATACAAAATTCTACTTCCTCCCCAACAGGTCTTTAAGATCTTTAAGATCTCCCCAACAAGATCTTTAAGGCTGGCTGGGAAAGTCTTGATAAATTTATTGAACTTCACAAGCCAGAAAAAGATGCAATGAAAACAACCACGAAAAATATTGAAAACTTAGACAAAGAGCAGATCAATTAAATGTAATTTCTAAATTTTCACTGGCCCCAGAGTTCTGAGAAACACCCATGCAGAAGGCAGAAAAACAAGGGGAAATATATGTAAGGAAGATGAGAGGAAGGCAAGGGAAGGGATAAAGCTTTCAGCTGCTAGTTTTACCTGGCTTTTGAACTGTACCACATACAAAGTCTGCTTTTAGAGGTAGACGCATTTCTGAAATGGAAACAGATCCCCTGGATGGAGCAAATTCAGTGGGTGTAGAAGCAGCTTTATATCTTTTACTATGAGGCCCCTCACTCTTCAGTTTATTCAGTTCTTCCAATAAGGCAGTTCTCTTCTCAGCTGCACGGGTAAATTATAGTTGTAACAGAGGAAAAAGTAGTACTGAACAATTTTTTTTATTGTTGCCATAAGCATGTAAAATGCAGCAGAAATGTTAATCATCTTCCAGAATAGCAAGAACATTAGGAACAAGAAAGATACCAAACCCATCCCCTTGCCTACAGAAGAAGCTGAGATAGAATAGGTATCCTCTCCCATTTTCCAGGTGAAATACTATAAATAAGCAGCTACAAGGTAGCGTAATAATTACATTGCCAGAGTTCATCTATTCCTGCCAAAGTGTTTATGACAAAGAATTGGACTTGTGTCCAAAAACCTACTTGCAAGGAGAAGAAGTCTCTCTGCTTCTGCTTCTTCTTGTGACCCTTTTCCATGTTCCTCATCAAAACAGCAGTTCAAAGCTTGACTGGCTTGATGAATCACCGTCTGCTGCATGTTGATCTCATTATTCAGCTCCTAGAGTAAACCAGTAGCAACAATAATTAGCAAGAAGAGAGATTTAGTGTTACGTTCAAGCAAGGAAATGTCTTGAGATTAACATTTCTGTGGCTATGCTTCAGAAAAATAAGACTTTTTTCTGATAGTCAGCTTAGATAATTAGGTACAAAAATCTTGCAGTTTACAGTTACTTCTGCAAAAGAATATTGCAGCACAACTTCTTTTGACCTCAGAGATAATTTAAATATGGTGGAGAGTGAATGACTTTAGTGTTTGTATCCTCCATATGCAGTCTAGTCTTCCCTTCACCAGGGGAAGCAGCAGTTAATCAGAAGTTCAGCAATGTATGTGAACAAGGCACCAGTAAAGATCAGAATATTGCTTATTCAAAGTATGTAGTTATGAACCCTAACTAATTCAAAGGCAGTAACAAGATATAGATTCCCTGTCCCCTTCTCAAAACAATGGCTTGTTATCTCCAGACTTACTCTGTACTATGATTGTTCTAAGAGATGTATTAGGCATTCAAATTATGCAGCATCGTTCCCCACTCTTAGATATTTATGTTAAACAACCTAATCTTGCAGTTCTTAGCCATATGTTAATGTCCTGGACATTCACAGGGGAAATTATAGGAGTAAATAGTAAATCAGAAAAAGGATTTTAAGAAGATATTCGATACCTGCATTTTCTTTTTGATATTGACTTGATCAGATGGGCCGATCTTTTTCGTTTCCAGTTTGGAAGCCACATCTTCTTTGCGAACGATGATTTGCTTTATTGAAGGACGATCAGTTTCTTTAAATCTTTGAGATCTATATGCATCAACACTTTTAAGAGACAAAACCTCATTAAACATTTCACAGGTGTGCCAACCTTTTTATATACATACATATGTATCAGGTATTGATGTTTTCCAACTTGCCTAAATGTCTATAAAAAAAGCATTCTATCAGCTCATTCTAAGTTTAACCAACATAAGGACTATACAGAGACAACTTTTGATAAAGGCCAAGATCCTGGAAAAAAGCTTTGTTTGTAGTATAAGCAGCATGCTTCATAAGAGGAGTTAAAACAGCCAGTATCTTAACTTGCACACTTAGAGAATGAGGTGTCGTTTTTGTGTTTATTACCTATAGGGAAGGTTGCGATCTTCTGACATAGAGCCAATACTGTCTACAGATTCTGCCCTGGGGACTTTAGTCCTTTGGAACTTTTCAGACATGAGACTCACATCACTGATACTGCTACCTTCACCAGTTGACTTACAAGGAGAAACAAAGGCCTGGGGAGAAAAAAAGGTTATACTACAGATATCTGTCCACATTAATCATTATCTGTTTTCTTTTATCTTTACTTGTTTTGCATATAAACAGTAAATTTGGAGGTTGCTTAGTACTAAAGAGACATTTTACAAATATTTCCTAGGACATGAAACAAGCTAATTTATTTGTTTAAAGACACCAAGAAATCCCCAAACTTAAGGAGATTTCAACCCTTAGTTTCCAAACTGGTACATTTACATAACTACTTCTCTTCAGATTTTCATTAGTAAGCACTTCATTGAATGTTTATCACTAGAAGTCCAGCACAAGTAATAGATGTACATACACAAGCTTGATTTAGTGGAAGTTAAACCACTTGTTTAGCAGATCATTCTATATACTATGGTCTTTTCAGAGGAAGATAACTTCACCTCATTATGTTTTCATTAGGAAAATGTCATTTGTAACTTCTCTATTTGCCCAGGTATCACAATACAGTAAAATATCACTGTTTACAAGCAAAGTGTACACCTCTAAGTGATCAACAGGCCCTTCCCCACCTCCTAAGAAGTCTCACCTCTGGACCAACAGATTCCACTAGAGGAGTTAACAGAGACATTGATGAAATATTCAGTGACTCTTCCTGCTCATCCTCATCACTTTCACCTTCCAGGCTCATGCTCATTTCTTTCTTCAGTTTTTCTATATCTGGACCATCTTCTTGAAGAACTTCAAAAATTTCATTTATCACTTTTGAGCTATTCATCTCGTCATCCACACTTATTTCGATTTCATATACTTCATCTGAAGGGAGATGTTTTAAAACTATTAGGAGCATGAAGACTAAACTCTTCATTCTCATTAAATTAGCAGAATGATGTTAACAGATAAGCCAACTATTTTTGCTTTTTAAGTAAGCTTGATTCAATAGCACTTATAATCAGGCATACAGAACTCTATAGTTACATTCTTATTTTAATACACCATTATCACGTATACTGCATAACTGATACAGAGAGGGGACAAAAAGATACACTTAGACACAGTTCAACATTTTAGTTCAAACAGGTTTAAAACTTAACTGCAAGTCCCACAGTAGAACAGTCATTTCTGTCCTTTCCCAGTAAACTTTTATATTCCTTGAAGACTCGAATGTCAAGAAAGAAGGGTTATTATAATAGGATTTTCATAATTTGTTTTATATAAACCTCATTACAAAACACACGAGTGTCAGGAGATGTATGGTGAAGTCATTGTTCAGACTTGAAGGATATTAACACTCAGCTGGACAAGTTACCACAGACATCTAAGTGCATTAATATTCATCTACTCAATACAAACCTTTCGGTTTCTCAGCAAGTTGTTCAAGTTTTGAGACAGACATTTCTTTTACAGGACTCTTTGGCTCAGTGATCTCCAGAGGACTGGGTTTATCAGTCTCTTCACATTTAGAAGCATCTAAGTAGTTTATAAAAAAAAAAAAAAAAGTCACTGAAGATTATGTCTAGACTTTGAAATTTTTTTTTTTAATTTTTTTTTTTTTTAGATCTGAATTTTGGAAGTTTGATAATATAGCTGACAACTTAGCTTGCTGTCAAAAAAAAAAAAAAAGCATTAGAATACACACCCTCCACAACCTGTACAGCTAGACTTGTATCTTATAATCAGAAAACTTATAGCACAAGAAACAACATTGAAACCATAGAGGAGCGTGCCCACTCAAGAGCAGAAAAATTAAAAAACCCAAAAGCGCTACACAAAAACCCTCACACCCAAACCAAGATCAGGGTATCATCCTATTTTTCTAGAAACACATTTGATAGCCTGTTTGCCCATAATGTCTAAGAAAGTGTCAACTAAATTCACTCTTTTCTCAGAGAACTGCAGGGTTTTCCATTCAGTAAGCACCAGAAAGAATGTTATGAGCATCTCAGAATTCTTTTCACGTTCCCTGGTATAGGAATTAATATTATAAGGGATACTGACAAGGAAAGAGTTCCTTTCCATTAGATCATTGTGGAATTGGATACCAGGCACAGTATAGATTAAATCTATAACAGACGATTCTCACTCTTCCCGCATATAATGTACATGAAAGTAGGAAACACAGGTAAACACATTGAGAAACAAAAAGGTAGTCTTGCCCTGCCAATCTTTCAAGTGGCATAAGAGTGCAGAGTATTATTACTATGAGGAGATTTAGACAAATCAGTAACCAAATAGGAGGCCCAGTTCTATATATAAGTGCTAAGTAGTCTCTATCTGCTCATGAACTTTAAGGGTAGTGCTTCAGTCCAGTATCAGCCACAGGCAAATACTGACAGTTCTTACCTGAAGACTCCACGCTGGGAGACTTTACTGGCCTGTCACCTGCTGTTGTGTCTTCTGCTGATCCAAAAGCGGTGGCATCTGAACTAGGAGGATGTTTTGGACTAGCCTGAGATTGGCTTTCCTGGCAAAAATAAAAACATGGAACATTCAGGGGGTAATGTTCAAAGTGACTAAAAAAACTACCAGGGAAAACCCACATTTTAACACCTGCCAGGAAAAAGAGATTGCCTATCCAATATCAAGAAAGATCCTATTTATTTATGTAAGAAATCCAGCTGAAGTACTAAATACTAAATTGTGTGAGGAGGTTTCTTTTGTTTTTAAAGTTATAGAATCAAAAAACCCCACACATCATCCCAAAAAAAAAAAAAATAAATCTATCGGCTTAAAGCAGTATCACTTGTCTCCCTAATTGAGTCCGCAGGAGGAAAAAAAACCTAATAATTTGTTAACAATCATACAAGCCACTTGACAAGTCATTTTGCACAGCCTGGCCATTCACAAAGCATAGGTTTTTATATTTTATTTGTATTCTCTTATCTCTCCCTGGGTTTAGAACATGTTAAAGCAGTTCACAGACTATCATCTTTGGATACATGAAGGTAACACATTACCATTTTAGCTTCTGGAAGTTTTCTCTTTGAACTTTCACTTTTCTCTGCGCTCCACAAATTGCCTCTATCAAACCGGCCACGAAGGCATGCAAGTTCTCGTTCACGTTCCTAAGCAAATAGAGGATAACGGAGGAAAAGCTGACGGCTTTAAGCTGTCAAAACATTTCAACTTCTTCAGGTAGGTGCCAAACTTTCCTCAAGCTTACAAGCAAGCTATGAATGTAGCAAGTCATACCTGCTTAAACTGAAGTGCTAAACTGGCAGTAGAGGAATTTTCATTTTGCTTGAGAAGCCTTTCCTGGATTGTCCTTGTATTTGGGGTAACAATGGGTGTTCTGCACCCTGGAGTATTCGTAGCAGGACTCTGTGCACTACGCTCTTGACAGCGCTCCCCAAAGCGTTCCAGGAAGGGCTTAATTCCTGATCCCCCTACAAGAACAATTGTTTTGCCTTGAAAGAAGCACTTAAACACACAGAAAGAAATCACTGCAATTTTGCATTCTGCTGAAGGCTCTCAGTGAAGCAATTCAATGTCTCCTTTACAGCTCTTACTGTTATACTTTATACAGACTAAATCTGAAGTGCAAATTACCACAGTAACAGAACACTGAAGTTAATAAAACAGCAAATCAGAACAAATAGATGTGCTTCTCTTACTAAAGTCCACATGTAATCTACCAGTTTATTTAAACTGGCTTACTTTTTGAACATTTCCTCTACAACCAGCTTCACTTGCATCCTTCATGCAAATGAGCATTCTAGTACATAAGATGGATATGCTGTTTGGCACCCACACCACTTTATTGAGCTTCTCTTATTGTCGGCATATTTAGACACACGTTTGCTTTGCTGGCCATCACTTCAAAGAGCTCAAGCTGTTAGTTCAAGTTTCTGACCCAACAAGAAGTTGATTTTAATGCTGGGGATGAGAACATATTTCAACATCAATGCTACCACTGAAAAGACAGACACTATGCAAGTTAGAGCATCTATGCGACATTTAGCTTTGATTTCTTCTAACATATGCAGACTCTTTACCTTTTATCAGCTGGACACGCGTAAGTATCCAACAATTAGAAAGAAGGTTTGAGTAGTCTCGATTAACTGATGGTAGCAGGATACATTTTTACACAGAGAAAAGTGAGACTGATTTTGTTCTCAAGAGTTACTAAACCACATCCAGGAAAATGCCCTTGCAAAATATGGAAGCTGTACAATTTATAATTATTAGAGAACTCTTCAGAACTTGAGTAAAATTACAGCAGAAAATAGGCATTATCTGCTATCTTACCATAAATCCTTAACTAATACATAATTGTCAACACAGGACACAAACCTACTTTGAATGAATGTTCATCGAAGCTGAAAAACAGCTTACCTGGTGTTGTGGGTTTACCCTTAGGTTCAAGTTGCACATGTGTTCCTTTGACTGGCTCTTCTTTGGACTGAACTGGTTGAGGCAAAGTTGACTTTGCTGTTTCTGTACGCTTTTCAGTTTTCTGAGGGCTGCGGGGATTCTCTGTTAGCAGTTGTCGTACTTCAGATGCTTTAGAACAGGGAGCAGTGACTCTTGAGGACTGTGTTAAAAAAATGTCTGGATCCTTAACAAGGGAAAAAGGAATAGCATTAAGAAGAAACTGTACGTTCTTATTCTCTCAACAGGAAAAAGAACGAAAGCATTCTGTATAGCACACTAACACACCTATTCCAGCAACAACAGAAAAAGCTGCGAACAAGTGTTATAAGCTTCTTGGAGACTTTTTATTATCCAGTATTTCAAATTGTTTCAGTATTTGATTCCAGGTGCTTTTGCCAGCTACTTTATGTATTTTCCCACACTCCCCTAAACAAGACTGCAAGTAGCACATATTGCCATTTCAGAAATGGCATAAATTGGTAGTAACTGCTACGTATTGTTCAATTTCAGCATTCTGATTGAATTTTTACACAGCAATAATACTTACAATTCAAGTTAATCAACTATATGAAGTTAGAGTGAAACCTAGTATCTCTATAATAAGCCCCTTTCTAATGGTCAAAAGAGCATCAATCAATTACTTTGACATCAGCTTTTACAAGTAAAAGGTATTCTAAGCCATTTCATGTCTACTAATGAGATTTGCAATAAAGCAAAAGTTATAAATAGACTAAGATTGCTCACACCAAATCTTTAAATTCAGATTAAACAGTTATGAGTTAGCCCCAGTACTCAAATCAATTTTTAATCAGCAACTAAATCAGACACTCACCACTATCTTTGAGTTTGCTGGTTTATTAATAGAAGCCTCAACAAGCCTTTGAGAACAGGATGCAGCTTCCTGCTTTACACTGCTACTATTGATTCTAGCAGATGCTCCACTTGTAGTGGACAATTTGGATAAACAAGTAGTGCCAGGCTGTTCTTGTGCATTGTTTTGCTTTGCAGATGGATGACTTAGGTCATCTTCCCAGGAACCAATTGTAGCAGCAAGGTTAGCTAAACGGCCTCTTCTCCCAATAGGGGTGTCACTTGCCAGGGCATTAGATGTCTGCTTAGGTGGAGAAACAGACAGACCTTTTGACTGGAGGGGAGACAGAGGAACACATTCAGAGGGATCTGGAAAAAAGAAAAACACATTTATTTTGCTCATAAAATATATTGTCATATATTTGCATCTTTTGCATTTGCTATATATTGAATTTATCAACAATCAGATGTTCTTACAATCAACAGAATCAAGCTACTAGCTCTGAAGGCATTAAGACTAATCAAGTTAAAGCTCACTGCAAAGCCAACACATTTTTAACCAGGCAGTTTACTAGTTTTATGTCACCACTGCGATAGACAAGGCATCACACTGGGAGGGGACGAAATGTATAAAATATAAGCTGTAGTCAACTGTTACACTATTTTGGACCTTCCCCAGTGCTAAGAATTCTTTATGAAAACATTAGCATTCACACACACAAATATCTTCTGCTAGAAAACAATCATCAGTGCAAACACTGAACACCACCAATACTGCTTAGCAAGTGAAACATACCCTCACTATCCCAGCAGCGTCGCTGTTCTGCCAACTTCTGCATACGTGTTTTGACTGAAAGGACTGCAGGAGTTTCTGACTCTGTGTTTGCTTTTCCTTTCTCAAGAGGCTGAACCAGTGAAGCCCTGTTAGAAGCAGTTATGTGCAACTCTGAAGTCATCTCAGGAGAATGATGACTTGTGGAACTTGAAGGAACTGGCTGTACGTTCTCTGAACTGGAGGCTTGAGTCTCCATATTGTTAGGGCAGAGTCTCTTTGATGGTGACGGTTTTGTACCAGGCTTCACTGTACAGGTCAGAGTACTCAAGAAAATTAGTATTCAAACAATCCAAAATATTTTCAGGTATACCAATATAAAGGTGTGATTTATTAATACTGATACACTTCCCAAAAAACTGCCCTTCCCAAATTCTACCAAGCACAAGGCATTATCTTTGGCATTATACAATTATTTTTAATTCTCTTATTAATTACTTAGAACATCTGCTCTCAGGTCAAGATAAACACTAGCCATATTCAGCCCTAGTGGTCAGCTAACTACATCCATCACTGTTGAGTTTAAGATAAACGCCAAGGGTTTTTTTCCTATGGGCAAATGAAAAGGACATGAAACTGGTATCAAAAGACAACCTTTATTAAACTTGTTGCAACATACCTTCTTCACCAGGAAGAGGTGCCTGGTTACCAGTTTCTAACAAAGGCTCTCTGACCCTCTTCGCCTGCATTATGGGTCTCACTCCCATCTTGGGCCGCTCAGCCATCTTCTTCTGCAGGTTCTCCCGCCTGGCCCGGGTTCTTTCAAGGAGTTTCTGAGTAGCCAATAAATCACATGTTAATGTACATTGCAAGAAGTGTGTTAACTACTAATAGTCAAATTAAAAATGTTTGAATTTTATCTAGCATATACTAAGATCCACAATACAAGAAATTTATAGTGAAGGCTATATTAAGACAAATGTAGCTCTCACTTATTGCTAGCTCATCTACTGCAATGCAACACGATAGAAATATTCAAAGTCTGGCTTCCTAACTGGCTGTTCCCTCCTGAAAGGGGATTGAAAACATGTTTTCTACACTGTCAACATGGTTTTCTGTCAACCCCCTTTTTCTCACTGTGATAACCCCTGATCTCCATACCTTAGATTTCACCATTGCAATACCCACAGCTTCTCCCAGTTTCAGCAAGTACCTGTTAAATAAAAGGTAGCTCACACTGTAGCACATTCCAAGCTACCTTCTTGCTATCTAGCTGGTTACTACATGTTTGCACGTTATCTGATGTTCTTTGGCCTACCAGACAGACAACAGGCTGAAGCATTTTCTTCACCAAGGCAAGGGTTTGGGTCTTTTCACCTAGCCACAGATGTCCATGGAAATTGTAGAAGCAGTTAAGTTAGAGACACCTACTCTTTTAAGAAGTGGTCAAGCTAGCCAGTAGGTTTCAAAGTTCCAGACATTAAATCAACCAGTGTCTCCCATTAGCTTGGCTTTCAACAGAAACCAGACTGAAGAGACACAAGCAATGGCAAAATTAAAAAAAAAAAAAAAAAAAGAAATCGGAGACACTTCTATAGAACCTGAAGTAGTCAGAAATGTTTGAAAGTAATTACTTTTTTTAAAATTAATCACCACATGACAGTCTTGAACTGTCAAGTCTCACTAGTAGGTTTTTTGGACAAATTGCTAAAACATGTGGTCAAGTCACCTGATTGGCACTAACCTTCTAACAAAGTAACATTGAAGTGGTTGCAAGTGGTCATACCAAAAAAAAAAAATCCACAAATCAAATGCATGGGTGTTAATATGAAAAAAAATGTTGCTATTATACCTTCTAAATCAAAAGGTGAATTTGTCTTCCTCAAACTTAAACTTTAAGAATAGACAGATGTTATAACTAGTCATCTTAGTAAACAGGCTGTTTAGGCTATTTATCACAATATGTCTGTATACAGAAGAGCATATAAAGAGATACCAATTAAGCTACCTAACATTCTCTTTCATTCCCTATCCATTGGAAATCTTGACTACTATGATCATATTCCATACAAAATAGCTGTTTTAGTAATTTTCCACACGAGTACAAAATGATTCCTTATAACATCCAAGTTTGAAATAGGTTGTGTGGTGGTGTTTGGGTTTTGTTTTATTTTTGGGGTTTTTTTTTAAATACTGCGTTTGTGAATCATTATCACTCCATTTAATCACATCTAAAGGATACTTAATTTCTCCTTTGATCTAGGCTTTAAGGCTCTTTGAGACAAGAAATTGTGTGATTGAACTAATGGCCTATAAAGGGAAGCACATAAACTGCACTTGTTTGGTGGCACATAAATTATTGCGAGAACTGTGCCAGTCATTATGTGTGCTGTTGCACAGCAATTAAATACACATTTCACATCTTTAACTGTCTAAGGCTGTCATCTGAAACAACAATCCATTGTAGGGCAACACAGGACAAACAGAATGTCAATCTCAACAGTTTTTTGTGAAAGCAAAAATCAGCTTCTCTAACTTAAATAGGAGGATTTGGGTGGGGAAAAAAAAAAACAAACAACAAAACCAAGACACATGAAATGCCAGGAGCACAGGAGCACCCTCAATGCAAGTTCCATGCTAGTTGCATCCACAAGTCAAGTTGCTTTATTTCAACCTCCAAAAGACAAAGCTACAAAGTACAGGTAATACCCACATAGATAAAATCATAAATGCTACATAAATTAACTGTTTTTCTCATGTGAAGTTAAGTATGCCTTCCACAACAGTATTCCTACAGTTCTATTCAAATGCAGTCACATTCCTTTCTGTTTTGTTAGTTCAGTGAAATGGAGCTTCAACTGTTACAGATAGGATGTCACTTCCTAAGAATGAACGCCTCCGTTGTTGAACTCCAGCTCCTATTGGCTTTTTGTATCTCAAGTTTTCCATGCAACTGCCGTAATTCAAACTGTGCTATTACACACGATGAGTAAGCAAGGCAGTCACTAGAACTCAAGACTTACTGTTCATGTTCATCAACAGGGTATTTGCTACTAATACACTCTCCAAGTGTTCTGATGGCAGCCCAAGTTTCAGAGTAAGACATACCTATTGCATTTCATCTAGAAATCTGAGAACGTCTAAGTCACAGTTAGAGGATCATGCTTTGTGTTGAGAAAGCACCTTCTAAAAATCAGAAGAGGCCTTACCACTTGATGTTGATAGACAATCTTGATTTTAAAAACTAAAATTTTGAAAGTACATACTTAGCAGCATTAGAGAAGATACTCAAGCCCATACGCGATTACAAGAATTTGTTCCCATACCCTGCTTTACTAGCAGAATGCAGCAAAGGGAGCAAATTTATCCATGACACTGAAGGCACAGTTGAATTCAAACTTCATATATGCAAGTTTTCCCCTGAGCAACTTCATCACTTACTTCTCTTTGGTCATCTTCCATGTTAGGAAACCATACTTTGCTCTATGAATCTTAATAAATACTTCAAATTATAAAATAACCTGGACTGTTACTAACATTCTGCAGTACTGAATGTAAAGTGTTCTGTGCAAAAAGGTGAATTATACAATTGGCTATAAACTGAAAGTCACAAATAGCATGTACATTGCAATCCTAAAAAAGTATCCACTGCGCCTGCTCCTCAGTGTGTTCTGTATTAACAATTTGGTCAATATTCAGAAGATTATTAGTTCTTGTTTGTAAGATTAATCAAAATAAACATTATTTCAGATCTGATTTGAAAGCATGCCACCATATCTTTCAGCAAGATTTATTTGAGCTTAAATCATTCGAGCTTGATCAGCAAAAACAGAATTAGCAGCATGCTTTGGCCAATCAAGGCTCGAATAACATTGCTTTACATAATCAACACTTAGCCTCACCAGTTCCCTGAATGTAATAGAGAACAGTAATTTGTAGACCAAGATTATCAGAAAGTAGTTAAGCTCAGGAAAGGTTATATTAAAAGGAAAAAAGGCAAGAACAGAAATACTTCATAGGAAGTGATAAAAAACTTCCTCTTCAGAAAGCTTTTTTGAGGAAGGTTATTAAACTTCAATACTAATACGCTAATATTGGTCAGATTTTTACACAACAGTGGAATGCCCTCCACAGCATAAAGCAGGCAACATTTTAGGCACTCTGCCATACCAGCTAATATTTGAATGAGTGTTACTTTGAGGAGCAGCCTCACAGTTGGTCACAGCTTTTCAAAGGCAGTTATCTACAAGAAGGGCGTGTTGAGGTTGGAGTATCTCCCAGCATGCAAAACCATTTCAAACTTGATTCAGTAGTTTAGGCTTGAAGTTTATTTAAGACTAGTCAGATCATGTCACTCACTACCAGTTAAGGAAGGAGGTTTTAGATGTTTATATTTAGCAAGCCATTCCATGGGGGTAGGGTGAATCTGCCTTGGCATAAAAAATTTAGTAAATATGTTCAGATCAATACCTTATGCTCAGTTTTTAAAAAATTAGATCTGTGCAGTCAACTTTTTCAGGCACTCAATTTATTTAAAGCATGTCAGCTTGATACCCAGATTGTTTTCAAGGGGAGGAGAGAATATTTCACCAACGTATTCAATCTGGATTTTTTTTAAAGTAGTTTAGTGTTTTTAGGTAGGCTGTGGATTGAAGGCCATTTTTCCTGCAACATTTCTCAAAGCAGTCACAAGACAGCTCCATAGCTTTACATGTCACACACAAAACCAGAGTATAGCACCTTTAAGAACCCTCTGATTTCATAGATTCAAGCAGATCAGTTCCATTCTGTTACAATTTTGCCTCTGTAAAACTGAAGCAAGCCCACACACAAATCCACCCTAACATCTTTTTTTTTTTTTTAATAAAAAGAGGAACTGTGCCTGCCAATGAAAGTGACCAATCACGGGTGGCAATAACGTCAAATAGGACATGTTTTTAATCGGATGGTCGCTGCTTTGGGCAAACTTCACAAGTCACCTTTAGGTAGGCAGGCAGTGTGTGTCAATACTACTCCCATTAGCTTCCAGGGTCGCTTATCTGTCAGGCGCACGTGAAAGGCAAACACTACAGCACTAGGAAACGCAGACAAGTATCAGCCCGGTTTAGGAAAGGCCCTGTCCTTCACAAACCATTGCATGAATAGCCCTTCTGCCTTCTCCTGGGAGATCTGACGCCCCAGACGCCTGGGCGGCTACAGTATTGGAGGAACCATCAACAGCAAAACGAGGGGGCCATAAAGCCTCCCGGCTGCAGAGAAAGAGGCTCGCTACAAGCCCACAACCCCCCGGAGTACAACAAACGGGGACGAGGGGACCTGACAGGCCCTAGCCACGACTCAGTGCTGGGCGAAACTCTTCCGCCCGAGAGCGCGGCCGCAAGGAGCAGCTCCCCTGCGGGCCCGGGCCAGCCCAGAATGGACACGCTGGCCAACAAATGTCCCTTTGCTGTTCTCAGATAAATGTGGGCTGCAGCAGCCCGAAGTCCAACGTCAGAACTTGCTCACACACCGGGCTGAAAATGAGGACTTACCAGGTGGGACACATCACTTATTAATAATCTATGAACCAGCCTGTACAGGGATAAGAAAGGACAGGCTTTATTTCCTTCAAGACAAACTAGGTATAGCTATCACTGGGAAATAACAGAAATATTCCTTTAATGGACCAGCAGAGAACCAATGCGGGGAAATACCAGAAGACAAAAGAACCAATACAGAGCTCAAAGTCATCAGCAGAAAATAAAAAGAGAGAATTACCGTTAAGTCTTTTCTTTATCCTGCCATCCCAAAGGAAGAAAAGTCATGGACAGTTTGAGCTGTTTAATTCTAACAGAACTCTTGCAATTTAAACATGCTTTCTGCTTTACATGTGGATCTATGAGATTTATACAGTGCAGCTCTAACTACCACTGGTGCGTTTCCAGATGTCGCTCCATCCATTCAAGTGATACGGCATAGCGCATGATACTCAGCCTGGGGGCCAACCAAAGTGGTGTTAGCTGCACTGTTAGTGAACATAATAATCTAATCTGCTATTTATTATTTAAAAAGAGGGAAATAATCATGCTTTATTCTGTAAAATAGATTTATTGTAAAAAATTTTTCTATAAAGTATATTCTGAAAAATGAAATTGAGATTCCTAGGAATGTATAACTGCTTAAAATGTCAATGCAACGTGCATGTGACAAATGTCCTTTCCTTTTAGTCTCTACAGAGCCAATAATTTCTTCATCATTTTGATCAAGACTCAATGGTGGCCTGCTAGAAATAAATACAATAATTAGTTTCTCATCTTCTCAAGAAGTTATGTCTGTCTTCCAGAAGAGCAATGGACAGTAAATATATCTTGTCCTTTTATTGCTCCAAAGAGCCAAAGAAAGTCAGGCTTTTTCAGGAATGGTGCTATAAAATGGCTGTGAGATCCATTGTCTACTTAATGGTGGGGGG